GTTTCACACTCTGACTTTTACAACTGTTTTTACATGATTTTGTATGTCAGATTGGAAAGTTAATATGTGCTCACCAACACAGATTAAGAGGTTCTACTTGTGCGCTAAGTCATTTTATGATGTGTTGTGTGAAAACTACCCAAAGAAAGTGTTGTGTAATTGGTCGCATTCCTTCAGTGGTCCAAACGGTTTAACAGCTGTGTTTTGGTTATAACAAGAACTCAAGGCTATGCACTCCAACCACTGTGTATGACCCATGACTTTTTACTACCATTGTGTGTGCACAGTATTTGCACCATGCTGGTTGTGTGTAGTAAGTATTGTATTATCTACTGTACATGTATGTAAATTGTGTTATTTTCCTAATATTACAGGGGTCCGTCCGTCCGTCGACCTGTCGACCCATATACCATCCAATCAGTCTGTTAACCCTATTTTATTGAGGAGAGCTTCAATAAAGATTTCGTCAGTTGTAGAGTATACAACAGAGACAGTGTCGTCGTCTGTTAATCGCGGTCGTATCAGTGAGAACCTTGCGCTTACGGCGCAGAAACCTATCCGGCAGCCCGGCCGGATAATACAACAGTACGATTGGAGAATAGGCCTGCTTAAAAAAATGTCAGTTCAAGGCTCTGCATGCCCATGGCGGCAGCGTATTAATAGTGAATACCATGTACTGGGTGCATGTAGTCCACTATTCAAGTAAGAATTTCTGCTCAGCTCATTAGCATAAAAAGTAGCAGCCCAGCATTTTTCTGAAAAAATGAGATTGTTTGACCCCGAAATGGTGAAATTGTGTAAATCGTTGCCAGGATCAACTGCCTGGGTCTTTGAGCTATCCCATGAGAGCAGCATGGCTAAAAACTACAACTGAAAAAATGGTCCAAAGTGCCCAAGAAGGTTGAGGGTTGCCACTTGAAAAATGGCTGCAATCAGACTTCGGAAAACTCACTTTTCGGGGGTGATTTTGTTTTGTTTTGGGAATAATTAAAAATGTAATTGGTTAGCCCACAATAAATTGAAAATAAATCGAAAGATTAGGGACCAGAAAATAATTTTATTTGTGTTTCAGCAATCTCAAGGATGTTGGTAAGCATGTTATTGGGCCCTGAACAGTGCCGATTTTACACTGTTTTAAATGGGGCTTAAATTAGTGGACTGTACCCTACTATTCAAGTACCGGGGACGGAAANGCTAAGTCATTTTATGATGTGTTGTGTGAAAACTACCCAAAGAAAGTGTTGTGTAATTGGTCGCATTCCTTCAGTGGTCCAAACGGTTTAACAGCTGTGTTTTGGTTATAACAAGAACTCAAGGCTATACACTCCAACCACTGTGCTGTATTATCTACTGTACACCCATGACTTTTTACTACCATTGTGTGTGCACAGTATTTGCACCGTGCAGGTTGTGTGTAGTAAGTGCTGTATTATCTACTGTACATGTATGTAATTGTGTTATTTTCCTAATATTACAGGGGTCCGTCCGTCCGTCCGTCGGCCTGTCGACCCATATACCATCCAATCAGTCTGATAACCCTATTTTATTGAGGAGAGCTTCAATAAAGATTTCGTCAGTTGTAGAGTAAACAACAGAGACAGTGTCGTCGTCTGTTAATCGCGGTCGTATCAGTGAGAACCTTGCGCTTACGGCGCAGAAACCTATCCGGCAGCCCCCCGGATAATACGACAGTACGATTGGAGAATACTTCAAACAATGTCAGTTCAAGGCTTTGCATGCCATGGCGGCAGCGTATTAATAGTGAGTACCAAGTACTGGGTGCATGCAGTCCACTATTCAAGTAAGAATTTCTGCTCAGCTCATTAGCATAAGAAGTAGCAGCCCAGCATTTTCTGAAAAAAGGAGATTGTTTGGCCCCGAAATGGTGAGATTGTGTAAATCGTTGCCAGGATCAACTGCCTGGGTCTTTGAGCTATCCTATGAGAGAAGAATGGCTAAAAACTACACCTGAAAAATGGTCCTAAGTGCCCAAGAAGGTTGAGGGTTGCCACTTGAAAATGGCTGCAATCAGACGTCGGAAAACTCACTTTTCGGGGGTGATTTTGTTTTGTTTTGGGAATAATTAAAAATGTAATTGGTTAGCCCACAATAAATTGAAAAGAAATCGAAAGATTAGGGACCAGAAAATAATTTTATTTGTGTTTCAGCAATCTCAAGGATGTTGGTAAGCATGTTATTGGGCCCTGAACAGTGCCAATTTTACACTATTTTAAATGGGGCTTGAATTAGTGGACTGTACCCTACTATTCAAGTACCGGGAATGAAAGAAAACAGTAAAGGCGCCCTCTATAAACACCAAGATACAAAGGGCGACAGCACCCGACGCGCCGCGTCGTGCGTCGTGTCGTGCGTCGCGTCGTGCTTCTGGCAACGTAATAGGTGACGTACGACACGACGTACGACAAGGGAGCCATCGTGCCGTCGCGTCGTGTAGTTGCGTCGCCTGGAGGGAGGCTGAAGAGAGAGAGAAATGTGTGTCGTAAATAGTACACCATACTAAATATCCTTCGGAACACCATTTTGGTACACAACTTTTCTAAAACCACAAAACGCTAATGGGCTTTCCACATCCTGAGGCTAATGTCGGTAGGTCTACATCTAAAACGTACTCGAAGATGTGCCAGCTGTAGCCTAAAACATCGTTACACACTTGAAGCCTCTGTTACATAATACAGTCTATACGTAATTTGAACTGAGCGTATTTTTGTCTTTTTTGTATACGTTTAACAAGTTCTGTTTTATCTATATGTCTTTTCTATATTCGTAATTGTACCAATAGAAATAAAACACTTCTGTACTTTGGTGATGCAAACAAAAACGTCTAATCTGATGTCAATAAAATTACACTGGAATGGACTTCTGTGCACAGAGTCTTGCTTTTACCATTAAAAAGGGGACACAAAAATATGTCGAAAACGCGGTTGCGTTCTATTTATATTCAGCTCAAGAACGCTAAGTAGACTAGAAAAGAGCACCCAGTAGAATTTACTCCTGTTAATCTTGAGTGGCCTGGCACACTGCAGCTGAAATATTCCTAAAAAGGCATGAGTTGTTGTCATGCGGCTTCCTATTTTTCAAATGCTCTTTTTGTCTACACTTCACTGGGCCACTCTTTGAGCATATCAATTCTGAAAATTGTCCAAATCCATATATTGTGGTGTAATAAAAACATTACGACATTGACGCCTCAGCTTAACCCATGATCAAGCGGGTGCCGCGCGAAGCGCGACAGGGCGCTATTAATGTTGAATTTCCAGTGAAAACACGGAGGCCAACCTCTTTACGAGAGTCAACAGGCGGCGCTGTTTCGGTCTGATTAATTCTGCACTGTTTCTAGATCCTATCCTACGGGCGCGTACTTGGTGTATACCGCAGTGCAACGAAGAGCATGCAGATCAGTAAAATACGGAGCGTCTATACTCTAGGGGTGAGAGGTGAGGATGGTAGGAAAAAAACTTATTTTTGGACAATAATGTAGGTTAAACGCTACAAAATACAAACGAACCCGGATGTTCGATATAGGTAGAAGTTCATTAAGGGATAGATTTGCTCCAGAAAGTGCAAACGGAGGTTTTCTTTGGTACAACTAGGTGTACCCGTGGTTTACTTGGCACTTTGGCAGTGGCACTGGCAGAGCACTTTTCAACACCCCATAGCGTTACGACACCGTGTAAACCGTGTTTTTGAAAAGTCACACGGAGTAGTGACTTAAGTTCTCGAAGTAGGTTTGGCCGTGCATTGCCGTGGTATTTACCAAGCTGGCATTCGGAAATTGGGTGGAAATAAAGAATGAATGAATGATGTTGGGCCGAGTGATCACTATCAGCATGATCAATGCCATGGAGGGGAGGATGCTGTGCTGCTCTGCAGCACCGTCTGTCCCTGTGAAACCTTATCCACCACGCTATGTCTGAGTAGAGTTGCAATGTTATGCAACATACGCACACAATGCCAAACCCTTCAAACGGGTTACAATGCCTTGCACCTGCGCTGACCTAGCAACGTATTGGATTGGACATCTCACACGCTCAAGTTGTCTCTAGGCCTAATTTGAAAATCTTCATGGATGACTTGGCAAACGGTAAAGTTGTCCCTCCAGTCGAGTTGTCTCAACAGTCAAATTGTCCAAAGTTGAGTTGGCAAATGGTTGAGTTGTTTGACATCCCCCGAGTCATCTTGGGCCCAAGTCAAGTCCTACCTGAGTCTACTCGTCAATAAATTGCCTGTCAAAGTTGCTAACAAAATATTACAACTGGGTGAGACAACTTAAAAACCTGTTAAAAACAATGACTCTATTTTTAGTTTGATAGAAGTTGGCAGTCATGGCAGTACTATGGAATCATCATTAGGCCTAGTTAGCAGTACATCAGTGGCCCCTCCAAAAAGATGAAAAGTATACATGTAATTTATACATTAATGGAAATGTACAAATGAAAAGTTACAGAACTTTCTTAATATGTCATTAATATAATAGTGAACCTGAAAAGATTACCTATGGGAACCTTGTGCGACATTCATTTTTGAACAAGTATCTGTTTGATATTCCAATGTTGAATCGTAATCGGAAGTAATCGTTTGACATTCACAGTGCACACTCCTAAAAATGATGGAGTTATTATTATATGTACTACATGTATTATGTATTTCTGGTAATGACACCAAGGATTCCTCAAAAGCACTGTAGGTACGGTAGCTCATAAGCCTGAAGAAACCTGCGGAGAAAAGTGAGTGAGAGCACTTTACAGTTTTAGAGGTGGGAGGGAAACCCCAGAGGAATATTCTGGGTAAACCCCATGGAATTAGGTAGGGACTGAAATCCCAATCCACGTGTGGACTGAACAGGGAATAGATCCTGGACCACAGGGGTGGAAGGTGAGGAAGAACCACTACACTAACCTGACTCCCAGACTGCAAAAGGGACGGAAAAAAACAAACTATGCCACCATGCACATCCATGGACATAAGCCTTATTGCAAATACTGCACGGGTGATTTTACACAATGGTAGAAAGGCATTGTCGGAAGGAAAAAGGAGCAAACATTGCCCCATTTTCCTTCCCACATTGCCTTTGTACCATTGTACAAAATCACCCGTGCGGTATTTGTGAAACCCATGCACCTCCTGGAGATCACGTCAAATATGATGTCATTGTTTTCAGTCAGTGACGACTCCTTGCAACCTGGGGCGTGGGGTTTTAGGGAGTCAAACAATCCCTGAAATGCAGGTGGAACAGTTGGTTTTTTTGTTCCGTTTCCCCTTTTTTGTTTCTAGGGATGTGCGTCCTGAGCAGCTGCCAAATTTCAAACCGTTTCTTATTCGATGTGTAATTTCAAACAGTTACTTGTTCAACATTGAATGTCAAACGTCAAACAAGGAATAAGTAACTACATGTAACTTCACACTGCTGATAAGATTGGGTTATTATGTAGGGTACGAATTGACGTAGGCACAAGTTGACCTGGGTACGAGTTGACGCAGATTGAAGATGGCTTGAGTACGAATGACTTGGGTGTTGACTAATGGGTACGAGTTGACCATTCTGGTTACTGCACATAAGTCATTTGATGTACATGTATGTACAGTACTTATTCTTTGTACTGGACTTCCTGCGTATTCAGGACCTCCACACTCAATGTAACTGTTCACAAGACATGACAAATGCCGTAGTTGTAGGGTACCCTTTTACCGTGTTTGTGTCATTTTATTTGCACTCAATATGGGGGGGGGGAGGTCCAATGTACACAGACATTCCAGTACCTGGGTCCCATTTATGGGGCAAGTGTTAACAGTATTATATGTAGACTCAGGCCCTATGAGGGCTGTTATCTGTGAGCTGGGTTAGGCCTACCCCCAGAACTGTGCTGTAGGGTTTGTTAATTGTCCTACAAACCCCACCATGCCCACAGTTCTGGGTGTATGACTGAGTGTGAGACAAAGTTTCAAAGCTGAAAGAAGGCTGCGATTTGCTCTTACTCGATTTGGACCAGGGGATTTTTAGAAATTAGTTGACTTATGTAAGAACATTTAGTGCACTGTCATGTCTGTTGTTTCGCTCAATCAAATTACAGCCTGCATGCATATTCATAAGTGTAAAATATTTTTGGGTATTGAAACACTTGCCATGCTTGCAGAAATGTTCAACTATTAGGGAAACATTGCTTACATGATTCATCCCTTTTACTACCCCTAGATACATGTGTTTAGTTTATGCCCTAGGAATCGTCACACAGTGTTTCCACATGGAAGCAAGACACGATGAACCCTGTAGTCGTATGATCCCGTTTTTGTGTCATTGTATTTGTGTTGCATAGATGACGTACACATGTTTCTCCATGGTGCATCAGATTGGGATTAGACTACCTGTAGTTGGACCACACTGCTTATTCAGTTTAACATGTTCAAAATATATGGATGCCACTTGACACCCTGTGCACAGACCTAATGGGACTCTGAAAATTGTGTTTTTTAAATGAAAACTTCAATATTTTCACTAGTACATGTACATGTAAATTTGGCAATGACTTAAAGCTAATTTTACCTTTACCCTGTAGCCGTTCCAACTTTGTAAATCATATGGAATCTTGTTGGATTTGTAGTGGTTTAATTAATCACAGTGGCCATAGTTATGGAAGTTTGGACAGGTTGCTGTCTACATGTACTTTTGTTGCGCTAGTGACCAGTCTGGTGCATTGGAAGCAGTAACCAGACCAATCAACAACAAATTGATCTCTGACTTTATTTCCCTTAATCCCCCAGGGATATTAATCTAGTGAAAAAAAGAAAAAATATATTGAAAAAATTAATACGATCTGATTAAGAAAAGAAAGGGGGAAGCAGAGGGAAAAAGGCACACAGAATGGAGTCAAACCCAAGACACTGAGATTGCAGATTAGCATGCGTAACGATAGGGCTATTGCATATCACAAGGATAGGTGGATAGATTGGCAATGATTTGTGCAATGGCATAACTGTAGAGTTTGGAAGTCATGTTACGGTTGCTGTAATTACAGCCACTTCATTATTTAAAAGTTTGCAATTACTGATTCCCACCTCACCTCATGAGGTACGTGTACAAAACTAAACATGTTTTTATGGTGTTCATGACTGAATTATTTTTGTTTACTTCTATTGTATTCTTCAGAAATCCGATCCATTGTGACGTTCCATCATGAGTTCTTCAGGTATGGTTTTCACTATAACCCCTATCTCCATAGCACATGGTAGACTGAGTAACTCCAGGCCTACGAAGGCCAATGAAATTTGATTTGTTTCTTATCAGGGTTTTTTCCAATTTAGATGTGTTTTTTTTTCATTATTCATTATTTTCTATCATGGAAAAATAATACCCTTTTCACATTGCAGCCGGTGTGGTTGTTGATTTTGCTGAAGTAAAGTCATGGTGTTAGACCAGAGATTACGGCTGGACGGACATGTATGGTTCAGACATGGCTTGAATTGTTTGGTGCCCTTTCTGGCATGGTTTGACTTTTATTGACTATTGGGTACCCCGTTGGGCTGACAAGGTGCCCATGGGCATTCAGGCAGATTTTTTGTGTTCTGATGACCGCAAATGCCGGAACGTACATGTAACTTTTGATGTTGGGAGTTGGATGAGGCGTTCTAAAATGATGAAATTTTTTTATGCGGGACCAAAATCACATTGGAGCGCTGATGAGAAAAAATCTAATTTCATTAACCTAATCTGATGCTCATGACTGATGGAAATGTGCAGTCATGTTTTTCTTCAATGTCATGAGCATTGGAGTTAGAGTTACTAAAGTTTTGTACATACATGTAGAGGTTTTTCACATTGCTTTTAGTATACCTTTATTTTTTATTTTGAACTGCATTTGTATCATTTTGATTTGGCAATACATGTGTCGGGTGCCTTGGTGAGCTCAAGAGGAATAAAGAACGGAGTATGTTGCAGCAGGTGTATAATATATGAAGATGTATTTTACGCATCATGTGTAATGTGCGTGACGTAATGTGCGTGATGTCATCCACGTCTAACAATGGGCGCAACCGATTGAAATATGCCCTCTTTGGCAAGTGAAGTTTGAATGGGCTTATGTTTATTAGGTTATTTTTACTATTATTAAAGTGGTACCTTGGCAGTGGTATAGACTTGATCTTTGGTTAGATGTACATGTACATCATCCAAAATTACTAAGAAATACATGTAACTCATGCCTTGGCAATGGTGCAATTTTTTATTAGTTATTTTATAAGTTCATATGTTGATGATAGTATATTTCTGCCTTCGCATTACTGCTGATTTTATTTTAACAGTAAAACTAATCTGTGAGAAATTGAATACAACCATGACAAAAAATATTATTTCCCAATTTGCCAGGGTTCTGCATCATTTTCAATGCTTTCTTGTAATTCAAAATTCATTTATTTACATACATTTATTTACGCTTGCATTCGTAGTGGCTAATTCTAGTTCACTCATTACTACAATTCTTGTAGTCGGCTGTTAATGTGTTAAACAGTCTTCACTCTTTGTCAAAGTTTGATTTCTGTCATCATTTGGCATCAAAGCCATACACGTCTTTACTCGAAGTTCATTTTTATATTGGTTTCTTGCAACATGCAATGTCTGCTAGCACAAAAACACAAATTTGCCTTCCTAAATTTTAAGCCATGAAGATCTTAGCTTCATCATCTCATATAGGTTAGCAATACAATATCCCATTTGTTAAGAAATGTTTAAAATGAAACTATTTTAAGTTAAAATTGTACATACAATAAAGAAGAGCTAAATTGTCAATCGATGTGGAACTAATTGGACATAAAAGGAAAAAGTAATAACACAACTGAAAATAAGCTATGCGAATAATGTATTTGTAAATAAGATGTACAGTCTAATTTTGGAGCTGTGGTTGGAAGACAAATGTACAGTAGTGCTGCAGCTGAACCGAACCAAAAATTGTTAAACATGGCACTTTCGAACCGAACCGTACTAAACTGGTTGGTTCACACGTTCGGCTTTAATATGGCATGGCATTGATAAGAAAACATGATAAAAAACCTCGATACAGTGCAGACGATGTTAAGCACGACGTAACTCATCACATTCGTACAAAAGGGCCACCGGTCAAGGCTTTTCCACGTCGTTTGGCACCTAACCGTTGCATTATTGCGAAGCAAGAATTTGACCTCATGCTACAATTAGGCATCACTCGACCATCACAAAGCAGTTGGGCTACTGCACTGCACATGGCTCCGAAAAAACTGGAGATTGGCACCCTTGCAGTGATTATCGCACTCTTTACAGTGTAACTATTCCTGATTGCTATCCAATCCTGCACATTCACTACTTCACTGCATCTTTACACGGTAAAGTCATTTTTTCCAAGATAGATTTAGCAAGAGTGTATCACCAAATACCATTTGAACCTAGCGATATTCACAGAACAACCATATCAACACCATTTGGTTTGTTCGAATTTACTAGAATGCCTTTTGCTCTATGAAATGCAGCCCAAACCTTCCAACGCTTCATTGACCAAGTTTTACGTGGACTACCCTTTGTATTTGCTTATGTTGATGATTTGCTTGTTGCCAGTAGTTCTGATGGGGAACACTATTCTCCTTTAAAATAACTCTTCCAAAGACTTGACGAGTTTGGTTTGGTTGTCAACCCAGACAAGTGCATATTCAGAGTTAATAGTGTCGAGTTTCTAGGGCATAGTGTCAGTGCCAAAGGTTTTTCTCCAATACCAGAGAAAGTAACCGCCATCGTCGATTTTCCAGTTCCAACCTCAATTCGTCAATTGCGAAGATATTTGGGATTAATGAATTTTTACCGAAGATTCATTCCATCATGTGCTCACATTGTTCAGCCACTTAGGGATATTCTTCAAGGCAAAAAGCAAAATAGGAATATCCACTTAACACCTGCTGAAATCGAAGCTTTTAACGCTAGTAAAGCGGCATTAGCTGAAGCTACATTGTTGTGCCATCCTGTCCAAAATGCTATTCTTAGTTTGACAACTAGTTAATTTGACTGACATCAAATATACTGTAGCCATGGGCGGAGTTTTGCACCAGTTAGTGGACTCTATGTGGCAGCCAATCGGTTTTTTCTCAAAACGGTTGCAACCCACAGAAGCAAGATATAGCACTTTTGGTAGAGAATTGTTGGCATAATACCTTGGTGTGCGACATTTTTGACACATGTTGGAAGGTCGGGATTTCTGTGTGTACACAGATCACAAACTGCTTACTCATGCTTTCAGTGCAAATCTTGACAAATACTCCCCACGCGAGATCAGACATCTGGACTACATATCCCAATTTACAACAAATTTCTGTCACATTAAGGGAAAAGAAAATCTAGTTGCAGACGCACTCTCGCGTTGTGTTGTGGAGACACTGATTGCAGAACCTTCCAGTAACATTGACTTACATGTAGATCAAATAGCCAATGAACAATAAGGTGACGAAGACTTAAAAAACTTCGCAAATCATCATTCCTAAGATTTATGGATGTGCCTTCTCAGACTTCAAAAAAAAACCGATCACTTGTGTTATTTCGACCGGCATACATGTAGCTCAACCTTACGTACCGCACAAATTCAGAAAGACTGTGTTCCAATCCTTGCATTCACTGTCACATCCGGGCATTCGAGCGACACAGCTGTCAATCACAAAAAGATTTGTTTAGCCTTGTGTAAATCGAGATGTCAGAAATTGGACTAGAATATGTTTGGCATGTCTAAAAACTAAAATTCACCGGCATAATACAGCACCTATGGCTACTTTTGCTAACCCTGATTCACGCTTTATTCACATCCACATCAATATTGTCGGACCATTACCTCCTTCAAATGGTAGTGTCTACATGTTGACTATCATCGATAGGTTCACTCGTTGGACAGAAGCTATTCCAATTCCCAACATCACAGCTGAAACGGTTGCTAAAGCTTTTCTTAGTCGATGGATTGCTACATTCTGTGTCCTTGCATTCATAACTACGGACAGAGGTTCTCAATTTGAATCACAATTATGCAACCAACTTGCACAACTCCTGGGTGCTAAGTGAATAAGAACCACTGCATATCTCCCCATTGATAATGGTTTGGTTGAAAGATTTCTTCGACAGTTAAAAGCAGCTATCAAAGCCACTAACAATCTAAACGACTGGGCAGATACATGTAGTTTACCATTGATCTTGTTTGGTATACGCACTACATTAAAGAGTGATTTAAAATGCTCTGCCGCTGAAATGGTATTTGGTATGACAGTTACGTTACCAGGTGAATTGATTATTTCTTCACCAGAAGACAAAATATCAGACTCAAGTAGTTTTGTTGACAAACTAAAAAGAGAATGGCTAGACTTCAACCAGCGCTGACAAGACCAGCAAAAACCAAATGCTATATTATAGACAGAGATCTAAACAAATGTAGCCATGTTTGGGCGAGAGTTGATTCTATGCGTAAACCCCTACAACCTCCATACAAAGGGCCTTTTAAAATTTTAGAATGTGCAGAGAAATACTTTATTCTAGATGTTCATGGCAAACACGACACTGTTAGCATTGATGGACTTAAAGTGGCATATGTGGAGGATGAGTTGACCAAAGATGGAGAAGCACTTAAGGAGTCTGTAACACCCAGAGTGATGCAGCACCAAGATGGCTCCGCATCTAAAGATGTTCGAATCACTCGCTCAGGTCGGAAGGTTCATTGGCCACAACGATATGTTCAGGTTATTAGAGATTAAATGTACATTGTAAATATTTACAGTTCTTTTTCCTGCCTCCAGCAGTTTAGGGGAGGTTGATGTAGTAGCCCCGAGTCAATTTGCCTTTTTGTTTATTACGTAACATGAGCGGTGAAGCGCGTCACCAATTTCCTTTTAAATAGCCCCTACTGCCACATGTCCCTCTCTTATTTCTTTCCTGATTTGCTGATGGTCGCTAATAAATTCTGCTGAGCTACAACAACGGCATTTCATTTCATATTTTATTTGTTACCCAGGTGGTCTATTTATTTTCTTTTTGATATAAAAATTTGTTTACTTTATTTTGGAAAAGAAGAAAACTGCAAAAGAAAAAAAAACACACACAAAAAAGAGACTTTTTAATTTATTTTTTAGGCAGAGTAGCCATCCAATTATTTTCGAAGGCTAAGTTAGCCGCTCTATTTTTGAGACAAAGTAGCCTAAA